TTATTATTATTATTATTATTATTATTATTATTATTATTATTATTATTATTATTATTATTATTATTATTATTATTATTATTATTATTATTATTATTATTATTACATGAAGTTCAGATATAGTAAACCTTAACAATGAGGGGGCTATAATGTATGGCAGACAGCATGAACTGGCAAAATCTAAGCAAAGCCCTTCTAGGAATCCTTAAGGCAATTGTCAATATTTGTTCTCATCTTCATGACCATTTTCCATGCTTGGTCAATACTATACTTTCACTAATTTCCTGACAGTCAATTTTGCCAATACCATCAGTTCACTTTGCAAGGACTCTCCTCTTCATTTAAAGGTAAAATCATAGGTGGAACATTCCTGAGCCTTTCCATTCCTTGGTGAAAACAAGGACATGATAAAGAAATATACTTTATGTAGCTAAAGAAAATCCATTGATTTTGATTTATGGCTTTGGCTAATAACTTGTAACTAAATAAATACTAGTATATGCTGATCATAAAGGAAAGCACTTCCCTTCCAGTCAATGTGAGGAATCTGGTGCTATATAGTGATGATAGGGCAGGAGGATTTTTCTCCAAATGTAGTAGTACAGATAATTGTTATTGGTTTTCTGACCACTAAAAATGAAAATAGAAAATCTGAAACATATGAGTACAATTCAAAACAAAACAAAATAAACTATTTCAATGACAATTTTGATGAGATGGCGAGGCAGGATGCTGAACTTATGTGAGCTCTACCTGATAATTTTAAATTTTAATCTATAAATATTGCATAGAAGCTTTTTTAATTGAAGCACACAGCTTCAGTATCAGCTGTGGTTTGAATGTAACAAACTAAGCTTTCTGCAGAAGTATGATATGATGATAACAAAGAATACAAACTAAGGGTGAAATTCCAAGCATTTTATCTCACAAACTATTTCAGCCATTTCTTGAAAAAGTAGGATTGTCTTGATTTTAGGGGATATGAACCAAATCTTTTCTCTAATTCTTATCAAGCTTACACAAATTATTTCCAGTGAATTGCCAAAAATGTTGAAGATTATGTGTCATTTCATTTATTTCTCTTATAGATGTTTAAATCTGTAAATATATAAAAATGGTTTTAAAAGAATATATTTATTTTTCTTCTTCTAATAAAACTTCTTTAAGATCTGTAATGTTCTGGGTGCTGAATTCATTATTACCTAAGTTCATGAAAGTGGAAGCTGTTCCTCTTACATAAATATGTTTGAATTGCATAAAAAGAAGTTACACATAAGAAATCACTTATTAGAAACAACTTTTTAAAGAATATTGGATAACTATAATAGCAAAATAAGACTAGGCTAATCTTCTCTGACTCCAATATTAAAAATATTTTTTCATAAAGAATACATTATGCTAAAAATTGTTCAAGGGGAAGAAAACTCTTACAACCTGCAAAATATAACTATTTACAAAAAAAACCATTTAACCACCCAAAAATGAAATAATTCTTCAAGATTATCAGAAATGCCTTCATGGTTTCAGTATGTCCAAATTAGTATTACAGAGGAAAAGGAATTACAAGAACCAACCAAAATTTACAACACAAAATACAGGACACTTGTTGTTACTGAAAGATAGTCATAGACTCAATGAGCCAAAAACGGAAATGAACTAAAAATGCAGAATTGAAAAGGACAATGGCATGGAAAAATTGGAAACATTAAATTCACTGCAAATAATACACCCAGAGAAAGTACATTGTTTTGCTGATACATAACTCCAGTGATTATTGTTAAAATGGACAACAGAAATTCAAATTTTTGTTGGAAATGTGTATCCAGTTTATCGTATCTAGTAGCAATGACATAAAGTTGAGAATGATGATCTACTATAGACATGCAACATGTCCTAAATGTTGACTTTCCTTTTTTAAACAATTTTGTATGTTAAGTATTACTAAACTTTACATTTACAAAATATGCAAGGTGGCTTCACGTACGGTATAACAACTGCTTTTTACTGGAAACCAAATTTAATTCCTTCAGTATAGGAATGACTGTTTAAATTGTGAGAATATGCTTTATTACCTCCAAGGTTCCTTCCAACTTTATCATCATCATCATCATCATCATCATCATCATCATCATCATCATCATCATTATTATTATTATTATTATTGTTATTATTATTATTATTATTATTATCCAAAATAATATTTTTATATAAAAAACAAGTCTGAAGTTCATTATTAGATTTATGGATTATAAGACTGTTTATGACTAGCTGCCATATCAGAGACTGGTTTCTCTTAAAATAAATATGCTAAACTGTTTATTTTCATTGTACAAATGAATGAATTAATTTAGAATTTGAAATAAATTTAGATATGAAATTCTGAATAGGAAAGAAGCTTTGGCGCAACACAAGAAACTCAAATAGTTATGGTTTTGCTCTTCCCCTTCACTCCTGGAACAATTTTCCATTCTTGGCTACTGCCCTCTGCTTATTATGCAATTTGGATGTTGGACTGACAACTCCTACTTGAGAAACATCTGGCAGCTGTCATCAGGAGGGCCTTTGTACAACTTCATCCTGTTTGCAACTGCAACTGTTCCTGGATTGGGAGGTTTGGTTTGCTGTCAAAATGCCTTAGTCATAGATGGACTATGGCCAAGTGCTTTAAAGACCATACTGAGAATACGATGGTGTGCTTAGTTAAGAGTCCTTCCTGGTTTGCCCATGTAACCCCACTTATTTTGTGAGCTGAAATGATTCTCAATAGATTTCAAGATACTGGTTATCCTCTATAAAACTCTACATGGTACTGAGCCAGGTTGACTATAGAGCCACATTTATCTGATTGTTTCTGTCATTTTGATGTTGCACTTTAACTGGATAGCCAATTTTAGATCTTCTCCTTGAGGGAAAGTCATCTAAAGGTATCTTGAAATTCCTTTTTATATAATTTGTTTTAAGAAATTTTTATCATATCCGAGGCTTCCTCCACACATACAGTAATAAATTTTCATAATTGCCAGTCTATATAGCTAAATATTTGGAAGGTATCAGCAATATTTTGAAGGTATTAAGTCCTGGTGTCTTTTGCCAGATTAAATATAACAGGATTGATTATTGATGGTAATGCCTTTAATGAACGTAATGCAGTCAAAATTTCAGCATCTAATAGGATATTTTAAGGATATTAAATAATAGTTCATACAGTTTATAAGCTGTACTCCATTATAAAAAATTCTGTTATGTAAATCTCATACAAGAAGAATGATAATCTCTAGAATCTCGTATTACAGGTTACATCATCTTGTTTTATTTAAAAAGCTTAAATTCATCCAATTCTCCCCCGTCATCCTAATTTGTCTGCTTAATAAACTTCAATTAATTTCTCCAAACAAATTTTTCACACCTGTACACTGAGTCAATGGGTCATACAGACATTTTAATCAAATGGTGGATTTATACATTGATCCCAGTCCAAGATTCTGTTGTTACAGCACTCTAAATTTATCCTTTCTGTGGAGCTGATTTCTTGTCTGGCCTGTCTGGTGAGACTGAGCTCAATCTTGTGATTATATTGTACCTCCTCCTCCTATTTGTAGTTGAGTGAATTAGGGTAGTATCTGAACTCCTTTCAAATAATATCTCTCCACTGTGGATTTAAATATATATTTTGCTCCCTGTCACCTTGACAATGGAGCTGGCATAACTTCATCAAGGTCATATCCTTACTGTTTATACCAGGCACTTGAAAAATGAAAAATTCTGGATAGGAGAGAACAGGCTGTCATTGAAACAAAACAAAACAGAGTTGCTGTTGTACATCTAGACATGCCCATTGTATTTTGGTCATATGCCATGGATATGTGCATGTAAGATAGAGAGAGAAACATGCAGATGTGGTCACTGGTTTATTTATAGCATGAAAATAATATCCATTTATTGTTCAGGGAAAAAACACAGATTATCAGAATATTGTATAACATGTTTCATTGCATAGTCTAAGAAAGCAAATTATAAATTTCAAACTATTTTAAACATTGCACTTAGGATGTACATATGATATGAATTATGAGAGGAAAATTCATTAATCTATAATAAAATTTAAAAAGATTAGGCGTCTTTCTTGTTTTTATCAAATCGCTCCAATAAACTTCTTAATATATTTCCAGGTAGTTTCTGGTGTCTGTCACGGAGATTTTCAATTGCAATTTTCGTCTGTTAAATACAGAAGAAGAAGATGGCATAAAGTCAATATCATTTTTAAAAATACATTCACAGATCATCTCTCAGAAATGAACTTTCTTATCTTTTCACAAGAATTGACCTTGCTGTAATTTAACTTTATTGCTTCGTGTCCTATATTATTGGACCATAAGAATTAGTATGGCATCCTTTAAAACTTAGTCTGATATTTCCTCTGTCTTTTGTCAAGGATAAACATAGTTAATAGAATTTAAGATTCCAATTTATTGATCATCCTCACTGTTCTTCTCAAATCCATTCCAGTTTGTCTGGCGCATTCTTAAATTGTGGTGTCCAATAAAAAAGACAGGATATGGAAAATTAGAACTGAATGAAATAGTAGCTTCCATAACTTGAAATTTTATTTGTCTTTTTTGCAGCCTTGACAGAGGGCTTCAGCATGTAGTCCACCACAATGACAAGACATTTTCCACTCCTACAGTATTAGACATATATTTCTAAGTATACTCATTTCTTCCCAGAACTGTGGATCTAAATTCAGAATAACTGAATAGGTGAGATTTTTCTGGATTAAATTAGCATGATTTCCTATAGACAAAAGATAGATCAGAGCTTCTTGTTGCACCATATATGTTAACTGACAGTTCAGAGTAAAAGTATGTATATGTTACACTGTCCTGAAAGCTGCAGAAACCATCTTGTTTTGTGAAACAATGGACCTAGGTTGTCTTTGTAATCATTTTTTTATTTTGTTGAATTGTGTCTGGTTGTCAGAAATTGCTTGGAACCGTCCCTGCAGTTTTCTTGGCAAGGTTTTTCAGAAATAATTTGGCATTATGTCCTTCCTAGGGCTGAGAGAAAATGACTACCCAAGGTCACCCAGCTGGCTTTGTGCCTAAGATAGGGCTACAACTCACAGTCTCCTGTTTTTAGCCTGATGGCTTAACCATTGTGCCTAAAACCAACTGCAGTTTTCTCACACACCCTTTCTTTTACCATCCACTTTTCTTTCTTTTTCTTCCTCTCTGCCCCTTCCCTAAACTACTACAGTAGCTATGGAGACAAATAATATTCCTCTCTCAGGAATGTCCTATGTGTTGAAGATTGTGATTCAAAATCACACTTTTACTGTGTTAAAGTCTCTTCAAGTTTCTCTGTTAAATTTGTGCCAAAGGTATTTTGAATGTCTTTTGTCTTTAAAGGTATTAATATAATTGTCCTTCAATTAGGCACAGTCCTATACAATTGTTTGTCAACTGCACATTGGTTAAGCAATTTTTTTTGCCTTCTAAGCCTGAGACCAAATCCTTCTAATACCGTTCAACAGCTACTTCCCAAGTCATGAAGAAACCCTAAGACTGTTTCTAAAGGAAGGATTTAATTCCAGTGTGCGTTCACCTAATCCAGCCCACTAGTTTGAGAATATAATGGGCTACTTTGTCAAATGTTTTACTGAGAGTGAGACTTTCTACATTCATGGAATTACTGTGATCAATCTAACCAACCATAAAATAGATTACTGTTAATCTGGCAAGACTTCTTAAGAAATTCGTGCTTTGCCACCCCATTATGTCCAAACTGCTTAGAGAGTTAGAACTTTATTATCTGCTTTAGCCTCTTTCCACATATTCATCTCAAAATGACCATTTCATATCATTATTTTGCTTCTTTTTTCAGGTACTGATAGTATTTTCCCTTCTCCAATCAACTTAAACTTTGTTTTTTTTCTCAACAAACATAACTATCCGAATATCTGTATTTAGTGGATATTATGTTGAAGAAATGTAAATATATTTAGGGCAGATAGGCCAGAGAGACAACCAAATAGCAAAAGAAGGATTGTCATTTTGGGATTTGATGTCACACATCTACAGTAAAGGAAAGGAACTGGCAGAATGATGGCCAAAGTTCTGTGAATACTTCTGACATGATGTTTGGTCACGAGGACAGGAGAAACATATGGATGAGCTGGAGATATTAATGAAAATTACTTTTCTTTTCTCCCAAAGATGCTTTTTCATGAGGCGACTAGACTTTCTTGTTTTTCTTTGAAGATGTTTCGATTCTCATCAAAGAAGCTTCTTCAGCTCTGACATAACTATAACCTGGATGACTGAGAATCTCCATAGATACTTTCCTTTTCTATTAAAGCATTTTTTAGAAGTACAATTTTTGTATGGTGTTATTTAAATCCTTAGTTTCAATTAGTCTTTTTCCTAATTTCACAATAATCAATAATAATTTCATTGAAAGAAGGAATTTGGACAAACATTGTTTTAAATATATAACATAACTATCATCTCTGACTATATGTCAAAACAAAAATGTTCTACAGAAAAAAAAACAATAGACAGTATTTAAGAGGCTGCTTTTGGTGAAAAGTTTGCTTACTTTTTCAGCCAGTTCCTTAGCAGTTAGGTTTGGGTCATATGGGATGGGTTCTCCAATGTAGGTGCGGAGTTTGACGGGAAACCCGCCATATATTGGGAGGACAAGAAATCGAAAGTGTTCAAACAGCCATTTTGAAAACCCTATAGAGGAAATAAAACAAAGTGGAAGATAAAAATATCCATTCATAAGGATGTGAACATCTCTATTTTTTAAAGAATGTGATGTTGCATCTTAAAACTGGAGATGTGAACTATGATGTTAACTTCTGCACCCACTTCAAAGTTGTAGAATGTGACCCTGAGACCAGAATATTTATCTGTGATACTGAAAGGGGAGAAAAAACACAATAAAATAATATTGAAATTAAACCCAAAGGATCAACTGAGTGGGGGAAACATTTTCTTTGCTGTTGTGGTCAAGAGCCACTCAAATGATGGATGAATCTGTGATGCCAAGGTAGCAAGTAAAGCACTGCAGAAAATTGTGACTGCTTTTATTTCACAGGTTTTGCTCCTGTCATCTTATTTTCTTTCCTTCCATCTTTCACATCATTACAGACTTTTTCAGAGAAATAGATCTTTGTATGAGGTGTCCTAAGTAGGATAATTTGAGCCCAGCCATTTGTATCTTGAGTGAGAACTCTGGGTTGATTTGTTTCATTATTCATTTGCTTGATGATTCATGTGTTTGATTCATGTTATTTTTTTTCTTTTTGCTGTCTACAATATTTTCAGGAGTGTTCTTCAACACCAAAATCCAAAAGTGTCAATACTCTTTCTAACCTGTTCCTTCAAAGTCAAAAAGTTAGAAACTGACTGATCTTTTTCTTAGATATTGCCAGTATCTAGATAATTAATATGGAGTTACCAGGTAAACTTTCCCTTCTACTCGTTAAAAATAGAAACAGCATTTACTGTTCTGTAGTCCTCTGGTGCTACTTTGTCCTCCATGATTTCACAGAAATTAAATTCTTTGCATTGGTTCTGCTTAGATCCATTGGACACAAAATAGAAATAGAGCTCTGCCCACTTCCTGTCACCTGTTATTCTCTGAGAAGCAGGCCCACCCATTCCTTTCTGGTGTAGAACTGGTTTCAAGTGGATGCTAGGCAGAAGTGTGAATTACTTGGGGACAGTGTAGAGGGGGGAAAACTGTGTCTTTATCTTTCAATCAACTTACTAGCTATCTGGAAATGTGAAAAATGGAAATGGAAAAATAATGTTTTGTTACTAATATGGAAGAAACATTAATTGCCAGGCTATTTAGTCTCTAAGGCAGTGGTGACGAACCTATGGCACGCATGCCAGAGGCAGCACTCAGAGCCCTCTCTGTGGGCACACATGCCATCTCCCCAGCCCCACCTCCCCCTGTGGCCCCCTCCTTACCAGCAGCACCCCCGGAGGAGAGTTGCCCCTGAGCGTGGCCCGCATGGAGCAGCGCAGCCAAGGACATGGCAGCCGGGCAAGACTCCACCCTCATGCACTGTCGCGTACAGATGATGCTGCAGGGTGTGGGCAGATGGCGTGACTACCATGGTGCTGCTGGGCCACCTGGGAGATCTGCTGCAGCAGGACGTTGAGGCGGTGGGTGGTCCTGCAGGTGGGCAGGGGGGCGGGTGGAGGGTGGAGTGGAGCGGAGCAGAGCAGAGCAGAGCAGAGCGGAGTGGAGCGGAGCGGGCAGGGCAGAGCGGAACAGGCGGGGCGGAGCGGGGACAGGGGCAGGGGCAGTTTCCGGGCACTTGATCTCTAAAAGGTTCTCTATCACTGTTCTAATGGAAAAAACAATCTTTCTTTCTCTTTAGACCATGAAGTTATTTTGCTCATATGGACAACTGAGCTCAACACCTTCACCTGATTCAGCTTTGAGCTACTTCATCTCTCAACTGACTCACAGGCATTTATACATACACACATACACACAAATACACATATACGAAGAGAGGGAGGAAAGCAAATATAACGATTGAGGATTAGATAATTAATTATATAGGAAGGAATATGAAAATAAAACTCACATGTGTTTCCAGCTGTCCTGTATGCTTCACGAAGGTTTTGTGTAAACATAGGAATGATTGGCTAAAAAGAGAAATACAGAAAAAAAACCAAAGACTAAAAACTGATATGAGAAAGCATTTTGGTTTAGATTGAAACTGTTAAGGAAAACCAGTTTTTAAGGCAAATTGGATTTGGTTGTTTTTTCATGCTCTTCTAGAATAAATGCCATTGTTATACTAACAATGCTATCTTATAAACTGTTTGTCTTCAAATGGCCCACTCCATTGTGGTTTGTATGTTCTGATGAGCTCCACAAATAGAAATTGTATATATTTATTTAGATGTGTAAGCTGACAAATAAAAATATAAGTGCATATAGGTAGTCCTTGATTTATGACTGTAATAGAACCCAAAATTACAGTTATAAGTGGTTACAGTTGTAAATTAGGCACCCAGAAATAAATTTCTGGCTTTTTTCATGCAGCCTATGGAGATTCTCAGTCAACCAGTCAAAAAGATTCTTGAATGAGAAACGAAACATCTTCAAGGAAAAACAAAAAATGTCCAGTTGCCTTTTGAAAACGCACCTTTCAGACTTTCATGGCAGTCATTAAACAAGCACTGTGGTTGTTAAGCAAATGCTGCAGTCGTTAAGGGATTATTGCTCAAAATTAGTAAAAAAATGTCAGAAAACAGCAAAAAAAAACACCTTTGCAAATCAGAGTCATGTGACTGTGGAACGCCTGCCTAACAGGCCATCATGTGAACTCAGGGGAGAAGTGAGATCATTTACATCAGCATGTATGCTTTATGGGCTATGGCTGTCATAACTTTGAACAGTCATAAAATGACTACTTGTTACAGAAGAACTATCTGTAGCATTGAAACAGTGTAAAACAATGAAAGTGTCATAAACAAATACAGAGCATTGGAGACAAAAACACCAATCAATTATTTTTCACCTTTAGGTTCACAAATTACCTTGAACAATGTTTGAAAAGCTAGGTTTTTACAGCTTTTCTAAAGGAAGGTGACGTTGGGCCAGACAAACCTCCAACAGGATGGTATTCCAGGTGGCAAAGAGAGAATGTGGCTCTGAGATCCCACAAGGTGATACTAGGTAATCGCTTCTTTGCTCTCTTTGGACAAGTAGAAATAATTGCAGAAAGGCAATTTAAAAAAAACAGATCCAGACCATCTAGGGCAGGGGTGTCAAACTGCCAACCCACGGGCCACTTGTACCATATGAAACTGCGCCCACCCCAGCTCCGGCAATGCAAAAAAAGTCACGATACATTGCAACACGCCACGTGACATGGTGAGTTTGACACCAGCTGGCTCAGGAATTCTGGGAGTTGAAGTCCACGAGTCATAAAAGAGCCAAGATTGCCTACCCCTGATCTAGGACTTTACAGGGGACAAGAAGCAGCATGGTTTGCACTCAGAAGCCCATGTGCAGCTCCTAGAACAGAGGAGTTAGAGCTTCTGCTTGTTGAGCCACATTCTAGACCATCTTTAGACTCCAAGTCATTATCATAGGTGGCCCCATCTTAGAGAATACTCCACCTCGTAGTAAAGTGCATTTAAAGATCATGTCTTTGTACATGATCCTTGACAGGACCACTTACCACTTTGCTTTTTAAAGCTACATCAGCAAATCCTGTACGGGTACTCCACTCCAGACTGTAATTTTCATCACTAAAATTCTGCTCTCTCAATCCACCAGGTGCTATTCCTAGCAAGTAGCCTCTCTTCAGAATGTCAACACAGAATGCTTTCTTGCCTTCAATGCAACCTACTATATCAAGACATGGTTTTATACCTGTAAATAAATTGGAGGAAATAAAAGATTGCATATGAATATAATTTATAGCAAGAATATTATCCAAATGCCATCATTCCAGTGATATTGTCCTATCACAGTTTCATAACAGGACAGCCTCAATTCTATCTCACCAGGCTGAAATAGAATTGAGGTTAGATAAAGGGTGAGATAAAGTACAACAATGTCTGTCCTTCTTTCAACTGGGACAACTTAGCATGAATGTTGCCGTTATTTTCACTGGAATTCATTGTTAATGCCTCTTTCCCCACTTTCACTCAGGGATTTAGGAGCAAAGCACAACGAAGGATACTCCTTACATTTTCTGTTCAATGGAAACCAAACCAAACAAAGTGCAAGTTTCAGCCCAGTAATAGGTACTTTTGAGATACGTTATGAGATTAGAATCAGGAGACAAGCAGGGACTAAAAATATCTGTTTAAACTAGGCCCTCATTTAGCGACTATCTAGTACAGTAATTGTTTGCAATTATGATGATGATGATGATGATGATGATGATGATGATGAAAGAGTAACTTTACAACCAAGCCTAACTTTATGACCTTCACAGGTCTATAAAGCAAATGAAAGTTGAAGAACTATCATAAGCACAATCACAGTTTCACTTACTGACTGCTTTGGCAGTACATAAGGGTACAACTGAATTGCCAGTCTCACAAAACGAGGACTACCTGTAGTTTATGACTCAAAACAAGGAGGATTGGATTGAGGGAGTAATTGTAGGAGAGGACCAGGCAGAGCCAAAGGGAGGAGGCCAAACACATTGTCAGTTATGAGTCTCGCAAGAGATCTAGGTCCAGCCCACCTTGAATTCCTTTCTTAATTCCCATTAATTTCCCTTGGCTGTGAGTATTTCAGATTCTTGTAGAGAGCGTAAGCTTACAATAAATCTTAATACTCATTTGAACTGCCTGAATCTCCTGATTTCCCAGGGCTTGAAAGTAATTATAAAGAGGAACAGAGGGTAGTCTCATCTAAAAGGGGGGTGGGTGGGTTGAGCATCAGGGGAAATGAGCATGAAGGGGACCAGGCAAGGCTTTTAGTACCTTTCAGATAAAACCAAAATGCAATCATCATCTAATGGTCTATCTACTATCTCTTACTATCATTTATTATGAGCAATTGTCTTGGCATTTCTCAATGGGGGTGATTGTTAATGCAGTCTGGAGATGAATGGGTATGATATACATTCCTTGACTATGTTATCACATAGATATGATCTCAAGGGTTGGTAGATTTGGACAGAGGATGCTATAAAGGTTTATCACTTTCTTATTGTACTTAATTCTCCTGTACCATCAATGTAGAAAGCTCTGTTTGTCAAGCCCTCCCGGGCTTGACACACAAGGAGGGGGAGAACCAGCATCACAGTCAGCAAGCCGACGAGCAGCTGTAATTAACGGAGGAGGACAACCAGCATCGCAGTCAGCAAGCCGACGCGCAGCTGTAATTAACAATCAGCTGAGGGGAGGCAGCCCGGAGAGCACAGGGCATCGCCAGCAGAAGCACAGGGAGTCGGCAGGAAGGTTCCAGATGGAGAGACTAATGGGGCAATTAACTGAAAGATGCTGGTTGGGGGAATAGGAGGGTGTGATGTAGGAGGATGGGGGTGTGGTGGCTTGTTTGGACCATCCGAGGGCCTTTTTGGCCGTTTGATTTCAACTGGAGGCCTTTCAGAGCCTCCCCAGCAGCCTTGACGATCTCTATGGCCTCTCCAGCGGCCTTTCCAGCGGCCTTGGCCGGGCAATGGGCCTGGGTTTGGGCCTGGACTTGGACTTGGCCCGCCCCGGCCTAGAGGATATCTCGCGGCCTGTTTGTGTCTCCGTTTGGCCTGGTTCTGAAAGACCTAATGGGACTGAACATCACCCCTCCCTCTATGCCACGGACTCCCTTGTTTTGGACTATGTACACGAAGACGGCCCTGTTGGCCCTGCGCGATTCACCCCTCGCGCAGGCCTGGCCCAGGAACATCTCGGGGGCCTACCTCGAGGATGGGGTGTGGAACCCCGAGAGGTGGCATGCAGCAGTCATGGACAAAAAATTATCCAAATTATTTAAGTTAAGAATGTTTTTACAGGGGTGTTTTAATAAATTTTTAGGGGGACCCAGGGAGGATGGGAGGGGGGAGGTTCCCCTTAGGTCAGGACCAGCCATGTCTGGGGGTTGCGAGGGAGAAAGGGTGGGGGGAGAGGGTGGGGGATTGAGGGAGGAGGGAGGAATTAGTACGGTCAGTGGGAGAGGCAGATATGGCGGGAGCAGAGGACCATATCAGGTTAGGGGAGCACGCACACGCTATTTACAAGCTTGTGGGTGCTCCGGTCCTCAGGTCTCCACTCGGTTTCCGGGAGACTTAGACCCTCCGGCCCGGGACCTTCGGCTGGTGCTATGTAATGCCAGGTCCGTG